GGGGGGGGGGGGGAATATCTAAAAATATTTCCTATTCTTTTTGAGTTTAATCTAATAGAATACATCAACCACAGCTACTGGCTGACAAATATGTCATAGGTCAACTGTAATTGCTGCATGAAAAATCTTTCTATAGTTACAGAATACCTGGATTGTCACCCACACTACCATTTTCTTCAAGGTACAGCTTTCCTGGCAAGGACACTTCTGGGCAGTATTATAGGGAAGTTGCCCTAAAACTTTATAGAGAACAAGTGCTTTTCTAAGCACCAATCAGCTAGACAGACCTTCCCTCCTTGGCAAGTTTGTTCCATAGTTTATTCAAGGAATGGAATTTTCATCACTGTAGCCACTGTAATGACCTCTCAATTATTACTTTCCTGTTCTGGTAGCACTTAGACACCCTAATTACACACAAGGGCCCTTTTATGCTCAGTGCTATACAAACGTTTAATGAAACCCTAGCACCTGCCTTGTGTTCATAATAAGAGCAGACCTACCTGAATAATAGGTCTTGCAGAAGTTTTACAATATGTAGCTCTGTCTGCCTGAGTCAGATTTAGATTTTAATTTCACTGTCTCCCATGACAAGGTCTGTGTAAGGAACAGTGTGTTGAACAAGGATAAAATGTTATTGAGTGTAATGACAGAAAGGCTAATTTTCTTCTATCTTTGAGAACAGGAGTTGACTTTAAGGAAATGTATAAAAAACCCCTATTAAATAACTGCCTGTCCAGTCACCAACATCAGAGGATGGGCTTTGTCATTAGTGGATGGCCACACCTACCTCCCATTGACATTCCTCCATTCTTGAAGGCCATGTTTGAAAGCTGGTACAGAGAGAAACGGATTCCACACACTGGATTAGACACAATGTGATTCAGCTCAAAACTTAACTCTCCCTCAACAGAAAAGAAGGCTGTCACTCTTATTTAAATGTGGGACACCAGGGGAAACTCTCACCAGAAGATGGAAGAAGCATCGAAGTGGTCAGAACTTTGGCCAAATAAAACCTCAAAGCCCTTAGGGGAATCACAGTGCAGTGCAATGACCTGTTTAGAGAAGGCAAGCTCATTTGTGGGAATCCCTATTACCTCATCACTTCTGCAGCTGCTTCAGGAGTGGGTATTGATGTTTCACTGAAACACACCTCTGCAAAAACTTAAAATTTCTGATAAATATGAAAACCATCTGGAAGAAACATTGTTCCCTTAAGCCAAGCAGATGTTTGAGGGTATTTTCAAGCACTAAGCAACACAAAGTGGGAAATTGAGGTCCAGTACAAACCCCTAATCACAGTTTATTTTTCAGCCACTGAAATCTATGAAGGCCCAACAGGCAACTGCTTAATGAGGCCAAAGGGAGTGGCTTAATTAAGAACACCTAGAGGGGGATGATTAAGCCATACAGCAAGAGAAACATTTGTTATTGTGTAATTAAACAACATTCCCTACTTTCATATTGCAGCTTTGAGTCTTTACTCTCCAGTGTGCTGCTGTTACAGAAAAAATGCACCCTTGGAAAACTGTCCAAATGAAAGTGTGCTAGTGCCAGTTGGTAGTTGCTGCAAGTTTCATGTTGATAAATCAAAGACAAAAGAGATACTCTTGGAAGTACCATCTGCTAATGTTCACCCCAAGACCTTCTTGCACATACATAATACATAGATAATGAAGTTAATATCTCCACTGTATGTTGTCAGTTCCTTGACATGATTTGTATGGTTATAGTATTAATATTAGTGCTGGGTCAGAAAAGCTCCAGTGATGTGACATAAAGTGCTAAACCAGCACAAGCTTATTTTTCTCATCATAACTTTTTACTGACACTCTGTGCTGGAGCCAGGTATCATCTGTCCATCTGCTGTTGGCATAAAGCACGTTTTCCAGAGCACAGAGTTTAGTGGACACATATGTATTCACACATGGTTCAGATCAAATATGTACTATCTGGTGACTTCAAAATACACTCGGAGTTATTAAAAGTTAACCATACCCCTGAATAAGAACAGAGCTATTAGGCTCATATCTTTTTGGTATTTCAGGAGCACAATTTATTTGTCTCTCTTGTTTCAAGTCCTGTCCATTAGGTGGTATTTGAAATACTTACTATAATACACTGCTTACCTCCAAAGAGATGAGAGCAGGATGTGTAGGTGCAGAAGCAATTCAGATTCCAATATCAGGTGGAGCCAAGCTGCATCTAGGGGGATTCAGAAATTAAGAGGGATATCATAGCTTTTTTAAATTTCTGATCATGGATCCTGCTCTGTTTCTCAAAGCAATTCCCTGACAGACGTGCATAATTTCTTTTTATCAAAATCAGTTAAACTGAGGGAAATCAAGCTATCATAGACACAAGCAGCCACTGAAAAGTCAAGTTACCATAGTCCGTTGCTTATGTTAACTATATTAATGAAGAAGCTACCCAGACAAACCATTATGAAGTAGATGTAGCATGACCATGAATCTAACAAATATTAGATCAGTAATTATTAGATCATCATCATTAGATCATCATCAGTAAATATTAGATCAGTAAAAACTAGAGGTGTGTTAATTAATGCTAGAACTATTCTAAGTTCTACTTTTCTTCTTTCAGAGGTTGAATTTTCCTCTGCCTGACTGTCCCCGTTTTGATGAACTTCAGAATGAAACACAAACATCTAGTGAATTTCAAAAGAGAATACAACCATACATGGTAAGACAAAATAAAAAGTAAACAAAATCTGAGAAGGAAAGTAACTAAGATGTAGAACTTATGGAATTGCATTGTTTTCTTTTGCTAAAAGGCAAAAATAAATAATGCAACCCCACCCCACCCCCCCCCAAAAAAAAACCCAACAAAAACAAAACCAAACCAAACTGAGGACTCTCAAAATCAGAAATTTAGGCCAATATGATAAAGAAGTATGGTTGATATGCTTAGGCATTTCTCATACTTAATGTAGAGTATACTTAATCTTTTGAAATGTGAATTTAACATTAATTTTATGAGAATATTTAGAGCTGCATATAATTAAAGTTCCACAATCTGAGGGGAAATAAATTTCTGGACGTAGCAATTTCCAGCTTTATAGGGTTACACAAAATCAATTCTAAAAAACCTGATAAATCCAAAATTTGGAAAGGTTTATGCCTTCCTGCTGTGATTTTCTGAAGCTGACACTACAACAGAGAACTAAAGCAAGCCCAACCACGGAAACAGTCTGATTTATGTAAATTTCTCTGAAATGCATTTTGGATCCATCAGAAAATATGCTTCTGTTTTGGTCATGACACAAATCTTCACCATCAGGGATTCAGATTTTCCATTCCAGTGCTGCAGCAGGATGTAGGTACAGGGATGGTGTACTTGCCTCAAGCGACCATGTTCTTGTGGATAATAATTTCTCTAGATAGTAGTTATTGCTGCTCTCTTGTTTGCTACCATGCACTTTGCAACAGCACTACTGCACAAAAAAGCAGGAGTCTCATGTTCCTCATCCCCTGCCTGCACCTGTACATTTTCTCTCAAGTCACTTCAGGCTAAGTGCTTGAGCTAAACCCAACATCTGCTTTTTTGGTTTATTTCTAACTTTCTGCTAGTTCAGCCACTCTAGTTAGCCTCACATCTCCTGGGGAGGTGAATTATCCTCTCTCTTAGGTACTAGTATGAAACAAGTAATATGGCAATTAAGGACTTGCTTTATTCCCCTGTGGTAGCAAATAGCAAGAATCCCTATGGGAATTGTGGAACTATTACTTAGATATTCAGCTCCTCTTCGATGGCAGAAGGAAAACCTAGTTTCCCTTTCAATTTCTTTTTGCCTCATCCTGAATATTTGCCTCACTTCTCTTAAATTTTCTGGGTTTTCCTCGCTTTTTTTGTTTTTCCTCATATTCCTTTTCCCTTAGCACCTTCCTCTTCCTTAGATCTGAAAGCTTGAGGTGACTGAGGTAGCCTGCTGGAGCAGTCAGAAGAGGGAGAGAAGAGTGCATCAGAGAGCACCAGATTATCTATAGCAGGGTTGAGAAAAATCAGTGTCTGAAACAGTGATCAGTATCTTGAAATGGTTACAAAATGAAATCTGCAATCAAATCTTCTGCTACAGTTAAAATTAAACACAACTCTGTTTCCAGGTTGGGTGATAATGAATCTGTATGCATATATGTTCCATATGTATTGAGTAGTTGTGGTATACTCTTCACTTCTTTTTTTCCCTAGGACTTTTTACAAACAATGGCAGTTAACACAGGACTTGAACTAAATAATCTTAAAATACTGGACAACTTCCAGCTCTGGAATACATATGACACTCTACACTGTGAGGTAATAATAAGGCAATAAGGGTTGGAGAAGAAAATCACTCCTAAATTGAGTTTTAATTAAACCATAGCAATATGGAAGGCATAGGAATGAATTACCTTCTGGCCTGAATTTGTGCCTTTTTTTTTTTAAAAAAATTTGAATCTAAATTCTAATTTAGTGCATTGGTAAAAGATAACTCAAAACCATGGTTTACAGCTTGGGAAACTGTTGTTTCCATTTGATCTTTTATCCTGAAGCACTGGTACCAAAATCCATTCCCTTTATTCCCTAGGTTTCCTTCCCAATATGCTGCTATAGAATTATTTGAGTATGCTGCTGTGGTGGTTTACCTAGGACATATTTATGATTTTTAACAGGAAAATGAAATTATTTGCTTTAACCTATCAAGACATAAACATAAAAACATTTAGATGGTAAAAATGAGAGGCGAGATTATGATCTATCAGTTAGACAATTAGGAGATGATGGTTGGTCCCAATGAATAAAATCAGACTGGCCCTAAGCATGGGATGATTCCATCTGGCCCTCGTCATTATCAGTAGCACATGAAGCTTGTTGAACATACCCTCCACACACTGAGGCACTTAGATGCTATAAGACACTGTCACTCTTACAGGACTGGAGAGTGACACTTGTCTACAGTGATGGAACTACTATCTGGACAACTGTATGGAAAAGATGTGAAATGGTGGAGCTAGTTTATACCCTGAAGATGCTGAAGGAAAGAGGATAAGACATATCTCTGCAATCTTTCACACTACCAAAACTGAAAACATATATCACTATAGCAAGACACATTATACCTACAAGAGATCCCATTCACACAGGTGTTTCCCCTCTTCCCATTCTTCAACTTCAGGTTGATCCCCATTTCCACAAAGGGTATTTCAGGGCATGTTGATAAGTTAAACCACACTGGGCAAAGAATTGCAGGACAGCCTCAGGGAGTCCAGATGTAGTAGTGTGAGGCTGGGCAACAGGATGGTGGAAAACAGTAGAAGAAAACAACATTATTTTATTTTCTTTTATCACTAGGATATTCACAATTATACTCTTCCTGTATGGGCCACCAAAGATGTAATTAACAAAATGGAAAAACTGGCAGAATTGTCCTTATTATCACTATTTGGGCTTTATAAAACAGAAGAGAAATCACGACTACAAGGAGGTAATAAAAAAATGCATAGCTCTCAGAAAAGGGGAGACAATGCTTATGATAACATGCAATGTCCTGTCACCTTATGCAAAAATACTGATACAGAACCTCAATTTGAAACTATGGACATGGGATGACATATTAAGCATGAAAATATATGCTGAACGTTGTCATTTGCATGGATGAGATACTGAAACAAGCTGTAAACATGAATGTCTTTAGTTATCTCATAGTTTTTTAAGAGATTAGGGTTTTAAGAAAAAGTATAGAAATCCAATGGGAAAAAACAAGTCTTCATGGGAATGATCATTACCTGTCTGGCATTAGGTTAGTTAGTTCTGTTTCTCCAACATTTATTCTAATTGTTTCCTGATCTTTGTTTTTCCCTTTGATATACTGGCTATATATTGTTCCAGAACCTTGGCAACACATTGGTAGATCTCTGAAAGACTGATATAAAGATGCTCCAAATCAGTCCAATCGGATTAGAAGAGGAGAGATCCAGGATATGTCTGTACTGCAAGAACTCGGGCTACTGCTTAGCTCTAAAACTGAGGTGCACAGGCTATGCACATATAACAGTACTTTAGGACATAACCCAGGCATTCCTGATGTCCATGAGCAGGAAACCCAAACCAAAACAAGGAAACGCAAAACATTCAAGTGAGACCGAGTATCTGCAGGCTGGACCGTTTGGGGCTAAGCTTTATAATGCACCTACCCTTCAGTCTAGACCTAGGTACAGAATTATCAGCAGCCTTATTGTCTAGGCATGGACCTCGATGGATCAAGCCATACAGTAATTAAAGGCTCAGCCCTGCATTAAAGCCCACTACCAGGTAGCTGGCCATATCATGTGGTCAAGACGTTTTCCCTAGTGTTCAGGCAGACCAGTTATGCTCTCTTTCCCTAGAATGGTATAAATTGTGCTACAGGGCATTTCTGCTGCCCTTATCACATTGGCTTTAGAATCTCTCTGGTCTGGAGAAGGAGTATAAGAGAGCTTTGGAAAAATGAAGAATTGATACTGTGTGACTTGTTGAAGTAACCAGTTAAAAATATTTCTTCAGCATCTAGAGAGGAGGAGGCTAGCACAGCTGTCATTATTGCAACACTGCAAACAGGCAAAAAACGTTGGAGAGGAGGTCTCAGCATAACAAAACCAAAAGTGTCATTAGCCCCACTTCTCAGGATAGTTCTAGATGATCTCCTGTAAATCCTGCCACTTGACCTGGAACATGAGTGATATATTTCACTTCTGTAGTATCTTCTCTCTAGTATGGACTTGCAATAAGCTAAGATTAGTTGTCTTCTATCTGATACTCAAAATCTTTTGCATTTTTGCTTCTATGCAAATGTTTTTCTTCATTTTCCTCTTCTTTTTTCCCATATTTTTAAGGTGTCCTTGTGAATATTATTTTAAATAGTATTAAACAAGCTGCAAGTTCTTCAAAAAAAAGAAAAATGGAGGTCTACTCTGCCGTGAGTATTTTCATCTTTCACAAATCTTGCTATGTTTTACCAGTAAAAGAACCTTAAAGAGAATAATCAGTCTCCCTGTAAGTTAAAGGAAAGAAAAATACAATACAGTTCAATTCAACTAACAAGCTGAACACCAGTTAGTACAAAAACACAGCAGGAGCAAGGATCTCACCTCAGTTTCAGTCAAACTGTACTCAGTAAAGAAATCTACGTATTTTATCATCTTTTTTTTCTGCAACTTAATGGTGCACTTTCTATAAGATGCATCTTTCCTTAAGTGCTCCTAACCCTGAAGATGCTGGCATATAGCAGAACTTCAGCTGTGCCTCCAAATCCTTCCTCTGCTTAAGAAGGGATGATATAGCTATGGATTATTTTTATTTATTTATTTTAGAGGATGAAGAGGGCCATTTGGGTCAGACGAAGATCCACTTAGCTCATTCATTATCCTGTCTCTAACAGTGGCCAACGGCAGGGAAGAATGTGAGAATAATGCCAGCGCAGAGTGATGCTTCCCCTGTCACAACCTGCCAGAAATATGTGGCTTAGGGACTTCCTGAGATAGAATCTGTGTCTGTATGTTTAATAGCTCTTGACAGGCTTTCTTCCATCGATTTATCTATTCACTTTTTTAACGCACTTGTACTTTTGGCCTCTGGAACATCCTGTGGCAATGACTTGTGTGTTAAAGAAAAAAAGTACTTCCTTATTTTTTTTTTGAAACTTAATACTGATTTAGCTCCTTCCTAGCATTTCTATTGTGAGAAACAGGGAACAGTCATTCTTTATTCACTTTTTCTGGGTCACTCATGAATTTACTATTTTCTGTCACACCTCTTCCATCTTTCCTTTTCCAAGACAGAGTCCTACACTATTTAATCTTTCCTCACATAGAAACTGCTCAATACCTTAAATCTTTCTTCCTGCTTTTTCTGTGTATTTTCTAGCCCTACTAAGTTCTTTTTGAAAAGGAGAAATTGCATCCAGAATTTTCACTGCTGCTTTAATGCCTTAGGGCCAAGTATACCCTTATTTTGAAAACCGATCACTCTAAAAAGTTCCAGATGCTGGAACTTTTAATAATTAAAATGTAACTGTTATACTATAATATAAATAATCCTATCAAATATGTATATGAATATGCTTGCAAAATTTAGCCATCAAGGTATTTGGACTTCTGTCCTTCAGCTCTTCCTCCTGGGATACCCTGAAAGTGGAGGGATTACGGGGAGAGGAAGAGACTGCAGGTGGGTGGGTAACTGATTCCATCAAAATAGAAGCCAAACTGAGATTTTATTGTGTAAATCCAGACAGAAGGAATAACAATTTTAAAAGTTCTGGAGTATAGGTGGAGGTGAGGAGATTAGTCTTTGTACACAACTGTTTGTCTGGTACACTATCTGAAAGAAGTACTTTGTATCTTCACTTGAAATGCCATAGGATATAAAACCTTATACTGCCTTAATCTGACCTTGGAACCAAAAACAATCCTAAAGGAAGGAATAGCAAAATGCACCATAAAACCTAGATTTATTTCTCAGGCCACATCTTGCTTTCTCCCAGTAACTGTCTCTAAAATACTACAAGATCATGTAAGACACATACTGCAGTAACTCTTCGGAAATGCCCCCTGCTGCCTGTATGTAAAACATGCTAACATGTGAATATGCTGGATAAGTTTTTATGGTCAAATTTATACAAGTTTTCATTTATCTTGATTTCTACTCCCTCTCTGCTCTTGTCACATTACTCTGGATAAATGGTAACTGACTTAACTGACTTTCAAGGATGGATTTTTTCTTTTTTCCAATAGCATGACACCACAATTGGGGCCCTCCATATTGCTCTCAATATTTTCAATGGAAAACTGCCACCATACGCTTCTTGCCAGTTTTTTGAACTCTACCAAGAAAGCAGTGGGCAAGTATCTTCTTATCTATGAAAGAACAAAGAATGTTTGGACTTTGGATCCCCCTTTACCAAAATTATTTTCCACTCAAATATTGTGAGGAGATACAAATGCTTTTTAAACTGATACTTCACTGAGCAGTCCCCAGGCACAAATTTTTATTAAAACCAGGAAAAATTACATTTGCTGCATGCGCGTATCTGTGCGCTTTGAAAGACAGAAAACAAGCCTTGCCAACTGGAAGTAAATAGTAAAATAAATTTTCCTCATTTTTCAAATGATAGCAACATTTCCAAGACATCTCATAAATCCCAAGGTAAACCAGCTGGCTTAGAAGAGCCTGGTGCTGTTGCCATTCAAGGAGCCTTCAGAAGGACCTTCTGAGCTGACTGGTGATCTGTGCAGTAATGTAACCAACTTTGGCAAAGGAGGCTTTGCAGATATCTTTCACAAAGCCTCCATACTTGAGGAACAGGTTCTAGAATAGAATGTTAAAGCTGATTCCCAACACTGGCTCTAAATAGGAAACCTTCTATTTAAGAACCTTTAAAAAAAATAATCTTTTCACTATTGTTAATCAGGCGATATAGCATTGAAATGCATTATCGGAACGACTCTTCAAAGGATCCTTACCTACTCACTCTGCCAGGATGCACCTCTGCTTGTCCACTTGAGAAATTTGCTGAATTAGTTTCTCCTGTAATTACAGAAAACTGGTCAAAGGAATGTGGGAGGAAAGACAAAACGAAAGGTAGTGTAACAGCTCTGTGTTTTCTACATTAGACATGGAGAAATTCTATCAATGGCTCCAAACTTTGTATCTTTCACATAAATGGTAGATCTCCCTTTAACAAGTGTGGACCAGCTTTACTATGGACAGGGAAAGCTGACAGAAATTAAATTTCTCTGAAAATGTGAGGAGTAGACATGCCCACCAGTGTGATGGCAGTGCTATTATTAGCATACTCACATAAAGAGCTACCTAAAGATCATGGCCAAAACTACAGCTCCACTTTGAAAGGAGTCTTGTGTATGCTGCACACATCAGAGCTTTTGTAGCTGCAAAGCAAAACCAGCTTCCACAGTAACTGTCACAAGTACTATGTATTGAGGATACCTTAACCTCCACTGCATAGAGTGCAGATGATCCATGCAGATATAGCAGCTGCTTGCCTCAGACCACCAACAACTGACAGCTGATAACCTCTTCCTGTCTAAATATTTCCAAGAGGGAAGTGAATGGTAAGACAACACATGCTACTTTCCAATAGTCCTGGTATTTCCCCTTTCCCGCATATATTCAGTGTTTTGCTGATCCCTAATGAAACTCCTCATTTGCATTAACTACACATGGTCCCTCTTGCCCTGTGAAAACCTAGGAGTGAGATTTCCCCCATGCACAGAAAGTTATCTATGCATTTCCAGCACTGAAGTATATGTTGTTATACTTACGTTGCATATGTCAGTAAATGCAGGCCATGTCATCTTGTCAGAACTGTGAATGAAATGTAACTATATTTCCACTGTACATATTGTAATTAGACTGTTATCTCTGTATGTAAAATGATATACATGTGTGTCTTTCATTAACTCCATTTTCCCTTATTGTTTTTCCTTCACAGATATTTTTATTGGATTTGACATTGCTGTTGGCTTGTTATTCATTTTTGACCTTGTACTACTCTACCTCCTTTATCATTATGGACGCTGCAGGCGCAGAAACAATTACCAAGACATTTAAAGGGGAGGTAAAGAAATGAAAGAGAGAGCAGCTAGACATCAAGCAATCCTTTGAGTTGCTTATATCCATCAGTTTGCTCTGGCCAAATTAATCTCCAAAGCATATTCAATAAATTTGAAGAGCTGAGGTGTCTGTGGCCTAGCTCCTAAAAGACTAAACATCTGCAGTGAGAAATGCTGTTGAAATAGATTATTGTTAAGAATTTACTTTTGTAGGAAGATGGAATTACTCCAATTTATATATTTAGGGGTTTTTTACTACTATTAATCACTCCTAAGTCAACCAGTGGGATGAAGGGATGGAAAGGATGCTATTACCTATGCTTTTTTTTTTTTTTTTAATTATTATTGCCTATTACTATTTAGCCCTCTGCTGCTCAATGAGTCAAAAATCACATTCTGTAATATTTTTCTTACTTCTTATAAATGACTATTTTGTTGATGCACAGGAAAATGTTTTCAGTGAACAGAAGCTGCAGTTACTAGGTGAAAAGGATTCATACCAGCACTTGGGCGTATGTTTCTGCATTTACTCATGTAAATCTATGCATGAGTTTTGACTTTGGCCTTCAGCTAATAAAAGTCTGCAGCCTGCTTTTCAAAGGAGTTACACTACTATAGCTCTCACCAAAATTAGTAAAACTCAGGGAAGCTCTATCACATATCCAGACTTCAAGGCAGAAGCTTAGTGCAACAGGATCGCGGTCAGTGCCCGCCCACAACTTCAGTAATATAGATAAGAAAATACATTAAAATCTATTTTCTGTTGCTACACTGCTTTCTTATTTTTCTGAATTCTCAGTCATGAGTTATCATTTGCCTTGCATCTTTTCTATAATGCATCTGTTCTCTGTCCTACTTTTGGTCTCTTCGATAATCTTATTTCTTTGAGCCACTCTTACAATGATTCCTCGGGCTATCACTCGGTGATATCACTCTGTGATCACCTTTTATTTTAGTTTACAGTAAGTCCCTTAACTCCTTGCCCTGTTAAAAATTCGTTATGTTAGTAAAACAAGCACTGACAGTAAGAAAATTATTTTGATTTTTGTATGTTGATCTCTTCTGTGCAATATGTTTTGTTTAGATTGTAAGCTCCTAAGGGCAGCGAATGTTTCCATAATTGCTCTATAGTATCATATACTAGTGTCATAGACACTAAGATTACTGTATAAAATACTCCTTATCATCATATGTTTCAAGGGCTGAATCAAGATTTTTCTTTTATCCTGTAGTCCTGCAGAGGATACCGTGAATTACATTAACACGGAGAAGCCTTCTTAAAAATCGAGACAACTATACAGACAAGTGCCAACAGCATATTCAGCCCAACAGCTATGATGAACAATCATGTGCTCATGAGCTAATGAGTCCTGTTGAAGTGCAGAAGTCTAGAGAAAGCTGAGAGATGGAGCTGCTTAGCTCAGGTGTAGCATCACATCAATGTTTAATACACTGCTTCTGGACTGACTTTGACTCACATCTCCAAGTGGGTTGCAACTTGGAGCCCAGGAGCTTGAGTCAGCTACCACTGATCTAGAGATCAGCTCTCAATATTACAGCTATGGACATTTAAAATGTAGTGTCGTTAGATGTATGGATATTAAATGGCATAAATCAAACAGCATAGCAAAGGGTTGTGCACTTGCACTTTCCAAACGTCATTGCATTTTCTTGTAGTAGCTTCAGCTATTGAGGTATCCACCTTTTGAAGTGGTATTTTCCACTCAGTAAAAAATCCCTGACATTTCCATTTTATCTGTTTTAGGAAATACAATAATCAAGTGATGGATTTTATTTTTACATGGTAAGGATATTTAATTGTATAACAATTTTGGACAAAGCTGTCAAAAAGGCTATCCTTAAACCAGATGTTTTGGATGTACAAGCTTCAGATTGTAAATATTGGTTCTGATCCTTGGTGCAAAAACTTACAGGATGTCTATGTTGTAGTGTTACAGCAGCTCTAGGAAACAAGCCTGAGCAGCCTGAGCTGGCTGGTTACTATTAGCAGTGTGCTCACAGTGGGGACAAGCTCAAGACACAGTGCAAAACTGATCCCGGCTCCTGAATAGAAATATATATATACACACAAAACCACACACACACTCGGTGATTACCTGATGCTGAGCTCTGTATTACCATGGACACAGTGCTGCTGGTACTCACGTAAGGATAGATTGGGTATGTCTTTTATTAGAGGCAGTCAGATGCTTGGCAAGTGAAGATGTATTGTTGACTGATAATGTGCAGTAAGAACTGCTTTTGAGAGATTAGAAAGTAATTTGGTTGCACTCTAAAAGAAGTAGAATGGGGCATGTTTTTTCCAAGACTGCTTCTTACAAAAAGAAGTACAGCCAGACAGAAAGCAAAATGTGAAGTGTCTGAGATATCTTTTGTGGTTTATGCTACTCAAGCCTAAGCTGTTACAGAGAATTTCAGGAGATGAGGCAATTCTAGCTGCGGCAGGAGCTGTCATGGAATAATTTTTATGTAGGGACAACTTTTTGTTAACAGATAGTCATACTTGAAAATGTCTGTGTGCTTTTAGTAAGGTTCCAGTGAATACAAGTTACACAGAATGTAATGGATAGGTTCAGATGATGTAACTTCAGAATTAATGAAGGTACAATAAAGATGTAAGACATTAGTAATGGAGACTCTGAATCTCACTTATAGTAAAGATGCTTTGTCTTGCTGTGATTAAATCAAGTATAATTCCTCCAGTGGAGTAAATGGTTTTAAGTGTCAAACTTGTGGCTTTTTAAATTTTTCGGCTATGTTTACAATTTGCTTACTATAATCTGCAGACTGTTTGTGATTAGAAAATATCTTGTCTCTGAGTAACTTGTAGCACTGCAAAAAAGTACATTAAAGAACTAATTCAACATTTGCAATTGTATTTGAGTGAAAATTAATGGAGCTTTCAGTATGCCTAGAGTTTCCAAACAAAAGTAAATGTTTGGGTTTGCTCCTTACATAAGAAGATATTTTTAAAGCACTGATGTTTTGACATAAATAACACTAACTTTGATGACATCAAGCTCTTCCATTTGCCCTCTAGCAATGACATCATCTGCCTCTGTGATATTTATAGTAGTGACTAGCAACTCTGCAGCAGGGTTTTCTGGTACATGTGGTAGACAGCAGTGCATACACAGCACTTTCCAGCTCAGTCAGCAACAACCTCCTCTTACTGGATTGATTTAATTCTGGAACCTGTTTATTCACAGTCCCGAATATTGCACACACTGGGTCAGCACAGTGTAGCTATCTGACTTCCAGAGTAACACCAGCTCAGTCTAGAGCACTCATGTTCATTTGCATCTGTAATGTAAGGACATTTGATCCAAAATATATTATTTCTTAATTTCTTAAATACATTTTCTTAGCTGTGGTAAGATACAGAAATCAGAATAACAAATACAGTGTATATAAAAAAAAAAAACCAAAAAATCTGTTCAGTCCAAAAAATCTTGAGTTTGGATTAAACCCCAAAAGACAAATGTTATCTTTCTAAATTTTTCTCCACAAATAAAAAATGCTAAAAATTCTACTCTACAAAGAAGAATAAAGATTTAATGTGTTGGAATTTGAGAGTGACGATGGAGGGTAGAGGCTTGCTTATTCTTAGGCATGTAAGCCTGGCCCTTATGAATCCACATTCAGGTGATGTCAGCAGTATTGCACAGGCCTGTATTCTTGGCTGATGAAGTAGCTGAAATTACTGTATTCTTTAAAGCATTTCTTATAAAGAAAGATGGGGATGAAAGGCAGACATCTACCTACAAAGGACTAGCTCTATTGATTTAGACAGCAATGCTTCTTCATTAGAAGTTGCTGAGTATTAACACTAAAATAAATAAACATGAGTTGCTACTGAAATAATAGCCAATCATTTGAACTATTACATTAGTCTCTTCTATGACTAGGCAACTTCATTTCCGAAGGGATTTTAGCACTGGTAAGGCCTGAAAGACCACATCTAGGAGATCAAATAGAGTTAGAAAGACAGTTAAAAAGACATGACCAAAGTCCAGTTGTGCTAATTTCTGTTCTCTCTCTTAAAGAACTACTTCCTCTCCTGAGACTGATAGTACATTGTCAAATTCATCTACCCTGCAGACTAAGGTCCCAGTGTTCTTTTAAAAAATCTGTAGAGAGAAGGAAGATACCATTTATCAATTCAAAATAGATAGTGGCAAAAGAAAATTTTCCTGGCTCCATCTCTGTTTCTCTGTATTTAACCAGAGTCATTTCCATGTCACAAAAAGGTAATTTCTCTGTGTTCTGCTTAAGGCAGCTAAAGCTCTCGGCCTCTTCCTATAGGGAGACCTTGACTTAGCAATTCTTCTAGCTCATCTACTCTAAAAACTCTGGAAAGAAAGGTTGTAAGATGCAGGATGATCATAAAGCCTTTTCTTTAGGAAGATGAGAATGAAAAGGATATATGAACTCAAAAATCTTTAACTTAAGGCCCAAATAGGCAAGCACATGCCCTCCAATCTCTAAAATACTAGTCTTGACAGCATTTGGATCAAGAATTACAGGAAGACAAGCAAAATTCTGTAATACCCACAACTATTGAGCTGACTGAACACATTTACAGTACTCCTTGGAAGTGGAGCTCCTTCATTCTTCACATCCAAGGCATTCTCAGAGCTTCTCCTGGCTGCTCTTCAGGAAGCACCAAGAGCTGAAGCAGATCTGAAGCCTACTTCTTGTTCAGAAGTTTTGAACCGCATGCACTTAAGATTAAAATGGGTGTGATTAGTATATTACTGTTTGCTGTATGACAATTTCTTCACTTGTGAAATTAATACAGAAGTGCTTTTACAGTACAGACCACCTCCTCCAGGGCAGAAGAGTTAAATAAACAATTCAAACATACCATGTTACAATTTCAAAAAGACCAGAGCATGTGCTACTGATACAAGCAGTATCAGTTTCATGAGTCTCTTGTGTACTCTCTGTAATATCCTTGTAGAGGAGAGCTTTACCAACCCAATTTATGCACAAGAAATAATGATTTTTATTTTCTTGGTAAAGGAAGATGTGGATCAAACCCCACCTTAGTCTGTAAGTTAAGACCCTCCAAATAAGCACAAGAAAATCTTCTTCTGACAAATGAAGGCCTAACTTTCACTTTTCACTTCACATCACTTGTTTGGAAAGATGGAGTTGGCAAAGACAGGATATATTAAGCCATGCTACGTGGTGGGTAGCCTATCTCCAGCACAGTTATTGAATTGTCTTCTCTTGTATGGCTATGTGCACTCACCTCTGAACTACTGGTGAAATGGAGGTGAAGGACAACAAAAATATTAAACTGTAGTGAGCAATACAAGCTGCTGTTTCTTACTCCTACAGATTTTAACCACCAAAACTTCTTGGTCATAAATGTGAATCAAATGGGTCTTTAATGCCCTCAGTTCTTCATTCTATCACACTTACCATACCTTAGTATACGTACAAAGCGTAGTCTCTACTGATTTAGATTTCTCCATTTCTGACCACACATTCAGTATCATCAATATTGTAAAAAAGGCAGTAGCTGAGTTGCAGTGGTCTTTCTTGTCTGTTTGCCTGTTTGATGTTTCACTGTGATTTGAACACCAATTCTCTGTAAAGTAGATCATTCTCCACCATGAAGTGCTGTTGTCATTAATGGCTGTCTCACTTGAGCCATGAGAAGAATGCTATTATCTGCAGAATTGCAGACAAGAGTACAATTACTTAATAATTATTTACCTGATGCTTCAGACAAGTATTTCTGAACAAAATGCTAGGAGATTTTCATAACCATAGCTTGCATTATCAAAAGCAGATTAAGGACTCTAAACAAACTTTCTTCTTTATTTCAGTGAATTTATTTCACTTTGGAGAGTGCAAATGCACTCTGACTATTCTTGAGTGTGTCATTTTATAATGACTTACCTTCCTGGTTTAGGATGTAGTTTCAGAATGTGGTCCTAAGTATGTTTGTTATCAGAGAAAAGATGAAGACTTCTATGAGGCTCTTGATGATGATAGGTCTTGACTGTTCAAGAAAGACACAAAATATCCTGAAATAACAATGATAAACTCTAAAAGAACTGCATTGCTGAGACAGAAGGATGTTACAGACTTATCTGTTCAAAGCAAATCCTAAAACAACTGGAAATACTATAGGAATGGTCATAGAATAGTATGATTTTTGGAAGTTTCTAATAATAAAATCTAACACTTCTGAAAATGAGCTTTTCTGTTAGGAAATTATTGGGATGGTCCTGAAGCCATTCTTACTCTTCTTCTTGGAGGTGTTTTTGTTTTCCATGATGTGCTTACATGTGCATTGGGCCCCAGTAAATGTTACTGTGTCAGGACCACTCAAGATTTCCTCTGAATAAGTATGTACAAGAGAGGAAGGGTGAAACTGCACAGCTGGACAGCCCATTCTCAAAACAATTTTTTATTTATATGCTAAGCAATTGATGCAAAACTGATAGCAAGTTAACACTGCAAATGGAAAGGAACTCATAGAATCTATGTTTCATGATGTATAATTTGTAAAGTTATTCCATCATGTTTTAAGGAAGATACAAGCAGAAGAAAGCATCTTGAAGACTAAACACATAATCTTAGTCTAACCAAAGCATGCAGTAGAAATGTTAAATAGCCTAAGAGGGAAAGCAAAAAGGAAAGAACAAAGTTTCTGCATACCCCTGTGATGTTTCTATAACCATTTACAGAGCCTAAAAGATCAGTCTCAGAAGTCAACTTAAATATAGAAGCAGCTGATGAGGTATAATTTTAAAAGTAGTACCCTTAATAAAAATATAATTTCCATAATGTTTGATTATTTTTGTAGTTTTATAATGCTTTTCCCATTACAGAAAGTTTATGTTTATAGATTCTTTTGCTTTTAAAT